TTTGAAACCCTATTCACCAAAACTATAAAAACTTGTGCAAATTTTTACACAATTCTTGATACTATAATGAAAATTATTTCAATTTCACGTTGAACTTTTTTTAATTTGTTGACAGTTATCTGCTTTATTTTTGTATTATAATGTCCTTCAATTTTATAGATAAACTGATTTTTAATTTGTTGGTATATGATTGCATGATTTTGTAGATTGATGAAATTAATTTTAAATGAGCAAGTTATAAGTTTTCTATAATAAAAAATAATTTTATTGATTTCATTTTTAAATTAGAAAGTTACAGTTTTTTCTTTTTTCGGGGTGACATATTAAGAATTTTTAGATTTTATTGTAATTTTGAGAAATTGAACAAATCTATTAAAATTTATTCAATATATTTCTACTAAAATCTTAGGAATTCTGCGAGATTCTACTCAAATTCATGAAATAGCTTAGATACGTTTAGGATCTGTTCGGCAATATGTTAAAAACCAAAACGTGGAAGCTTTATCCAAAAAAAAGTTTTCCAGCATTTAATAAGTTTCTTACAATTTCTGACTAAATTTAATTTTACAATCTACTTTATAGAACAATTCCTCATGATCTCTTGCTAATAATTGATTCTTGAAAGGAAAAATGTTGAACGCATATTTATTAAATCTACATATCCTTGTAAAATTCCATCATAAAGACCGATACACCTGATAAGATAATAGTAGATATAATTAAAGAATAGAGATATTTCAAAAAAACTTTGAGTTGTTCCCTAATTAATAACCCATCTCTTGATATGTCAACTTTATGCTTATTCTTCATTGATCTTTTGATGAGCAGAAACATCTTTGATCAAGTAAATTTTTATCTTTTCTTTAAATTTTCGATTGAATTGTGAGACAACTAATCTTTTCTGAGATCACCCAATAAAAATTCTCTTAATGTCTATTTTTTTTCTCTAAACTTTCAGAAATGTGTGCTTTGAAGAAGATATATTAGAAAGTTAAATAGATATTTTTAAAGTATGAAACAGTTGCAAAAAATTTTGACGTTATTAATATTATTTTGTTATTGCTTGTTTAAATTTTTCTCATCAAAGTTATTCCATGACTGGACTCGATCACTAGCTTCGTTTCTGCCTAGAAATGTAGTCATCAATTAGTAATCATGCAACTAATTTGTTTATGTGGATGACCTGGTCAATAATTATCTGTTTCTTCTTCCTTCTTCTTTATTTTTTATTTTTCATTTTTATGATTTGCAAAACAACTGTTACTTTGTAAGTAACCTTTAGAAGGATGCAACTGGACCTTAACCATTCGTTATAGCTACACAATCTCCCTTAACATGGAAAGGCATTCTAAACTCTGCTAAATCATCATTATCAAATGTCTAACTTTATAAAACTATGTTTTCTTTATCAACTTTGATGGTACCCAAAAATGAGCGAGACATATTTTCATGAGGTCCATGTGTCGATTCACAGGCAAAATTTTTATAGTTTCTCTCATTTGATAGTCTTGTTCAACTATAGTAAAATCTTGAGGTGCAACTTATTACTTGCGCAAAAAGTTGATGGCCAATGGACTTCTTCATGGAAAATATAACGTTCATGTACCGTGACCCTTTTTCTGTCAGTGCTTCTGTACTATCTAGGTTGTCTCATATTCATCATCTAATGGAAGTCACTTCAGCGTTATAGGTGAAATGATGCCTCTATGGTGCTGATTTAAATATTTCTCACAAATCTAGAGTTGTATGAAATATAGAGATATTTTCTGTTTCATTGACTATCAGTTATCAGAATTTGAATTAGTTTTGTAGGAACAGTTAAAATGACAAACTTTTTTCCCCCCCCTTGTAAAATTAACTTTATGTGCGAGGTTTTAGGGCCTCCTCACTTGATCTAAGTGGGGGTTGGCATTATTGACACAACTTTGTACTTACAAGGGAAGCTACGGGTGGCTTTTGAATATATTTCTATTCAAAATTTACTGTTAATACCACATATAAAGCTAAAAGGAGAGTGAAGATGGATCTTAATAAATGTATTACTCTAACATATTCAAAATGTTTGAATACTTCACAGAATGATAGTACGACTAACAGTGAAGGAAGTGATATTGATTGGAATACAGATGATGATCTGGAGATAGAAAATGCAATATTCTCTTCTTGTTCGACCAAACAACTGGTTGGGGACCCTGGAGCGGTAAAGCAGTCACACTTGATCAGTTGAATACATATCTAGCGTGCATATCTGTGTTCGATTATATATATGTGTGTGTGTGGCTAATATCAGTTAGTTTGAAATCTCAAACTTGATCTGCTTCCCTTCTCTCCATTTGTCATTGTGTTTGTCTATATACTAAAGTATGTCCATGTATGCGCTGATATGCTTGTGTATAAATTATCTCACATTTTTTGAACAATATGAAATATTTATATTTATATACTTGAGTATTAATTATTTCATAACATCCTTGCTTATTCTACTAAATATTTCTTAACTACATTTAGATTACTGAATTCGTTTTTATTTCTTTTATCATTCACTATTTATGCTTAGCCCTTGGTAGTTTATCCATTCAAGAAATAATTGAAGCATTGTACTAAAGTTTGTTTCGAAAGATTAAAGAGACATTTACGGACCAACATTTTTCATTTCCTTTCTTTTCCTGGCTGATATCTTATGGTTAACAAAAAGTGGATGTTTAATAATTCCAATATTAAAAAAAAAAAATAGAATAATAAAATTTCGTTGTTATATGGGCAGTCAACTTCCGCTGGCAATACTTCTAGCTCAACCTCCAGGCTTATTACTCACTTCATGGGAATGGGATTTCCCAGGGACTTCATGACAAGAGCACTAAAGAAAAATGGTAAACTTACGACTATTCTTATTTATTTATTTATTCAACATAGCACCCTGAACTTATAAGTTTGTTTTAATTAATTTAAGGAAATGGTAACTCGGAAGAAGCTATACTGGAGGATATTCTATCAAGCCCAGTAAGCAAATCTTGGCCTGAATTGTCGCAGATTCTCATATTAACTTCTGTCAATGCCTTGAAAATGATTCATTAGTTATTTTCCTCTTCTTGTGAATTATGTTTGATCAATTCATTTAATTAGTGAACAACCAGAAAAATGATATCGTTTTGTATTGCTGCGCAACCTTATTGTAGTGTATCATGTATAATTTTGTAAGTAATAAATCAGATAAAAACAAAAAGATTAATCTAACTCCAACTCTAGGTGATTGATAATTGCTATAGTGAACAATTCCAAGGAGATGAGCTAGTGATGCTGGACCTATGAACAAGAAATGATTGCTATGTATTATGTCCCCACAAGATGGAAATCAAGGGCTATGTATTTCATTCAGGAGTGAAATACTATATTTTCACATAAATACGTGACTCCAACATAATCATAAATGAGACAAGGATGATATCGCTAATAGATGTCAAGTTCATTGAGAAGATTGTTAAGATATTTCTTCTCTAACAAAAGAAACCCAGCAAAATTTAGCCATCGGCGAGCAACTGTTTGTTTATTCTTACAATGAAAATAGGGAATTCGAGTCAAGGAACGCTACATAAGCATAAATTGAGGTGAGATTGACATTATTCAGCCCAATCAACATTGGAATAAGCAGTGACCAAGGACAGATCCGAATTAATTTTCCAGGAGGAGGGGGCTGCAATATTTTTTGTAGAGGACTTTGACCATATGAGGGAGACGAAAAGACTGAATGAGAGCACAGTGAGCCTTACTCTTAAATTTACCTAGTTTAGTTCTGCCGTGGCAAAAGTAACCCAACAATATTTAGACAAGAGCCGAAACTATATGTTGCTTCTTTGAATAACACTGTATAGGATTCTAGTCAAGGAATATTACATAAGCATAAATAGACGTGAAGTTGACCGGACTCACCCTAGTCGCTATCAGGATAAGTGGTGAGCAAAGGTGGATTCAGATTAAGGAGAGGGGAATGTGATTTTTTTAGAGAGGACTTTAACAATTTGAGGGAAATTAAAAGACAAAAATGGGGCACAATAAGACATAATTTGTGATTGCCACAAATTGGATTTATTAAATTCATTTCATTCAACCATTTTTAACTTTCTAATTCAACCTCATCACTTAGTGGTTTTGTAAATTGAAAGGAGCATTATAAAGTATGCCGTGAGAGCTTCAATATGGTATCAAGAACCTTTCCTAATATTTGAGAGTTGTAATCCAACTGACCTACAAACTTGCTGGATAAAATGGCCGAGATGCAAAATTTCCTCCAATTTTTCTGTTGAGGAGATTCATGAGCTCGAGCCCACACCATGGCAGTGAGTTTCATCAGTTTTGAGCGGAGAAGAAATAAACCATGATAAATGGTGCTCTTTAGATAAGCAACAGTTGTTTTACAATAGTTCAATAGGTTTGTTGTGAAGTGTGTTAAAGCAAGTTCAATGGATGCATAACCGACATCCAGTAGAGTGATAGAGGTGCTGCATACTGCTTATTCCACTTCCAGATTGAGTTAAGTTAGTTGTTGTTGAAAATAAAGCAAGAAATTGCAAAGACGAAATAAATAAATCAATCACACAAGAACACAGATTTTATGTGGAAATTCAAGATGGAAAAAAAACCACAGGCAGACTAGAATCAATAATGAATGTTGCTTACACAATACTTCAATGCTCTCAGTCAAGATCTGAAACACTCTCAAGGCTGTATATATATATTATATCATGTTTACAAGTCGTGTTTCAAATATATATACCCTAAACATAGAGTTTTAGAAGAAATAGTGTTAAAAATATGTTAAAATGCGAAACAGGCCTGGATCGGAATGGACTGCCACTCTAGCGCCAGGCGGGTGCCAAGTGAGCACCGGAGCTCCTGTTTTGAGCTTTCGAGAGATCACCGGGCGATCAGAGAGTGGGAACGTGCTGATTTTTTCTCCCCGTTCCATGATTCGACCAGTTTAATAAAATTTGGGTCATATTTCAATGGTTATCGCAGTACTATCCTTCAAGAGCAGTCGAGCTGATGAGCTTATACGAGTCATAGAAGTCTTCAAACCCTCGTTGTTGAACCTTTATAAAAGACTAAATTTACGTTGATGTGAGATAAGAGAAGGCAGTGTTTTGTAGGAATCACATTAAAACCCAAGAAGAAATGACTAATGTTGGCAACGTCTTTGATGATAAAATGACAAGATAGTACATAAAGCACGAGATGCTTTTTTGATGCTATAAGGAGAATAGATATTTTTGATGCTATAAGGAGAATAGATAAGTTGACAAACATGTATAAAAGCTGAGGGATAGGTTTGAAATATTTTTAAATTTTTCTGGTTTTATATAGAAATTCATAAAGCGTAAAGCATGACTAGGTGGCAAGGTCAAGTTTCAACCTTTTTACAAGCCTAAGCAAGGGTAGATTAAGTCTAGGTTTAAAAAAGCATAAAGTGTGACAGGGCGGCAAGATGAAGTTTCAAGCTGAGGCGAGGTTTTTAGAACATTGCAAAATACATATACATTTGGACCCTCCAAAATATTTTGGCCCCTACGTGAATATCCTCCCTCTGATAAATAACATGTACTAGACTTGAGTAATCAACAAAAACTAGAGGTACAACACTAAGCCCTTGTTTGGTCTGGATTAAAATTCAGATTTTAATCTAAATCAAAGTCAACAATTAATTTTAAACACATATTTTAAGGGATCCACAACTTTTCTACCACATATTTCATCAAATTTTATCAAAATTTACTAAAAATCTGATTATAATCCCCAACAAACAAGGACTAAAACTCCTTTGATAAGAAGGACACGAAGAACGATATTGTTGACATTGAGTTGATAGATAGACCAGTACAATATGAGGCAATAGTTAGAGCATCCTAAATTGTTGAGATTTTACTGACCAGGCTCAAGGTTGATAAAGGTTTTGAAGAAAGCTTTTAAGAACGAGCCACACTACCATTAGTATGATATTTGATCCCTAAAACCCATTTGATGTTTACGATGTATGGTTTTATTGAGGAGAGATTAACCAACTCCCACTTACCAGTTTGAACGAGATATTAAGCTGTTCACACTTGTTAGCTCTCCATTTGAGTATTTAAAGGCTTGTACAGCAGAGGTTGGTTTAGGAAGAAAAGGGATGCTTGTGTCAGCATATGAGAACTTTCTATAAGAAATTTAAATATATTATCTTGGAGCGTTCAGCAGATGATCATTTTCTGTTTTAGATAAATGCAAGGTCAGTCATGGTGAATTTAGGGGCACATCATAACTAGGTTGATATCATTGATTATTACTAAAGCACCATTGTCAAAGTTAAAAAATCTTTTAGAGTTGATAGTATAGTCCTTGAAGGAGTCCAATATGTTCAAGAAGTTTACACATGATCATTGGAATGCAATTAGAAGTCTCAAGAATATCAAAGAGACGTACAAGTTATGTTCCAAATTCTCAGTTGTAAATTGCAAAGCATTTTTCACATGGAAAGTATTGGAATTTGGACAAGGCTATTAATACAATATCTGTAGTGCTAATCGCTGTTGCCGTTAGCAATCATCAGCGATGCTAGGGTACTGATCGTAAATTTCCAATAGATAAGTTGTCGATGTTACTACAAAATTTATTTTTTCTTTATTTTTATTTTTTAAAAAGTTACATACCAAATATTATGTCACTAAGCCCCAGTTTGGTGATATTAAAATTCTAATTATAATATATATTAAAGTCAACAATTAATTTTAATCACTCATGAAAGATCCACAACTTTTCGACAACACATTTCATCAACTTTTATCAAAATCTACTAAAAATCTAATTTTAATATTTACCAAACAGAGGCTTAAAATATCCTTTTATTTTATAATAATGCTCTTTTACTGAAAATTTTCTACTTATATTAACTTATTAATTCAAGAAATTTCAATCCATTGTTAAATTTATGAAAATATGAATTTTTTAATTTTTCAAATTGAAAATTCATTGTAAATTGAATCAATTTTTTAGCTGTTATTAGTTACTAGCATAATATTTGAATGTAAGATTTTATCTCTTTCACTATTTTATTTAAACACAGACGTTTTATAGGCACGTTAAGTTTATTAAAATGCATTTTTGAAATTATCATAGACAAAGAAACTCCAATTTTGATATTTAAATTATTAGTTTGTTAACTATACTTTTGATCGATAGTATTTATCTTTTCTATTTTTGATATATTTTGGGATATAATTTCTATTGGGTAAATAACATTATGAAAAGAAAGCTTTTTATCATCACATATGATAAATCTGACTTGAAGATTATAATATAAAATTTTTTGGAGATAAATTTTTTGAGATTTCGGGGCTTAGGCAATCACTTCATATGTCTAAAGGTTGAGAAGACATTATTTTTATTGCTGCATTAAATCAGTCTAAGGACTACTCTCCACTCAAAATGTTGTACTCAGGATATGATTAGTTGAGAATGCTTATTTTATTCTTTACAAAATTCCTTAATGCAGGGGAATACAACTTCATCATGCGTAGAGAATAATACATTTTCTTTTCTAATAGAGATGGGCTATGAAGCCGACGAAGCTTATACAGCTATTAAAAGATGTGGTGAGTATCTATTTGGAAGGTTTAATGAATTAATCATTCTCCACTTATATGAGAAACATAACAAAACTTATAAAGATTAGCATTTTCGTGTAGGATTAATTTTAATCGGAACATGAAATCTTTTCACGCTTCAAGAAATGTTTAGGAAACCTAAAGATATTTCCAAACATATTTCTTGAGCATTTTGCATCTTAATTTTTGGAAAAATAATGTGCATGTCTTATGTAGCATCTTCCTTTTTGAAATACTTTATTTTGATCTAATTGTCTTATGTAACCTCAATACCATAACAGAAATATGGCATGTATAGATTGCATTACAATATTATTTAAAGTAAAATTCCAACATTTTAGGTAAAGATACCCCAATAATGGATGTGATTGAATTCATTGATGCTGCGCGTATGCGCCATGATGCACATGTTGCTCCTTCAGAGGTAAAGGTAGAGGAGCTGCAGTCCAACAGACACAACCATGAATTAAATAGGAGTACGAGGTTCAAGAAACGAAAAATGGATGAAATGGCTCGTCTATCAAATAAAATGATAGGATTCGGGGTCCCTGGTGTACCAGTGCCACCCATGGTTATTAATAGAAATCTTCCCCATTATATAAGAGGTCCTCCTTACTTTTACTATGAGAATGTAGCACTTACCCCTAAAGGAGTTTGGAGTACGATATCAAGGTTCTTGTACGATATTGAGCCAGAGTTCTTAGACTCCCAATACTTTTGCGCCGCTCAGAGGAAAAGAGGCTATATACATAACCTCCCAACCAATAACAGATTCCGGCTTCTTCCTATTCCTCCTACCACTATTCAAGAAGCATTCCCTCTATCAAGGCCCTGGTGGCCAGCTTGGGACACAAGAACTAAGCTCAACTGTCTGGTTACATGTGTAGGAAGTGCTCCACTTACCGAGAGGATAAAGATAGCAGTCGAAAAATCAGCTGAAAATGAGCATTTTAGGTAAAGATACCCCAATAATGGATGTGATTGAATTCATTGATGCTGCGCGTATGCGCCATGATGCACATGTTGCTCCTTCAGAGGTAAAGGTAGAGGAGCTGCAGTCCAACAGACACAACCATGAATTAAATAGGAGTACGAGGTTCAAGAAACGAAAAATGGATGAAATGGCTCGTCTATCAAATAAAATGATAGGATTCGGGGTCCCTGGTGTACCAGTGCCACCCATGGTTATTAATAGAAATCTTCCCCATTATATAAGAGGTCCTCCTTACTTTTACTATGAGAATGTAGCACTTACCCCTAAAGGAGTTTGGAGTACGATATCAAGGTTCTTGTACGATATTGAGCCAGAGTTCTTAGACTCCCAATACTTTTGTGCCGCTCAGAGGAAAAGAGGCTATATACATAACCTCCCAACCAACAACAGATTCCGGCTTCTTCCTATTCCTCCTACCACTATTCAAGAAGCATTCCCTCTATCAAGGCCCTGGTGGCCAGCTTGGGACACAAGAACTAAGCTCAACTGTCTGGTTACATGTGTAGGAAGTGCTCCACTTACCGAGAGGATAAAGATAGCAGTCGAAAAATCAGCTGAAAATGAAGAGCCACCTTCACATATCAAGAAATATGTTATGAATCTTTGCAAAAAGTGGAACTTGGTTTGGGTCGGGAAGAATAGAGTCGCTCCTCTTGATCCTAGTGAAATGGAGTTGATAATGGGGTTTCCAGAAAATCATACACGAGGAGGTGGAATTGGAAATACTAAGAGATATAAACTTCTCGGTAACTCTTTCCAGGTAATTAGCATCCACACCGTTAATACATCCCATAATTGAATTATATGTTTATTGAAACATGCTACACTTACAATGTTTTATTCACAGCTTTTATAAAACCTATTAAAAAAAAAAAAATTCCTGCACTTATAGAATTATTCTCTTCACTTTATAGTGACAATCATTATTTGAAAATTCTTTTTTTTTTTTGTTTTTTGTTTTTTTCACATACTCATTTTTAACTATACATTGATAGGTCCCAATCAAAACAAAGACACAAAGAAATAGATTTAAATATATAATACTTCCTTTTGGGTAGGAAGCAAACCAAATAATAATTTTCTTCACATCCCCATAGCTAACACAACAAATATTTATGTTGGGTTTTGATACCGAGAAATCCGGGTGATGATGTTAAACCGTTGTTGGATAAAATAAATATCGACACCCAAGATTAATGACCCGACCTTAAGACTATTTGAATCATTGGAAGCAACCTAATTAATTAGTGCTGCTCATAGCCCGGTTTCTTCACTCATTGGATGGCTTTTGTATGCTGGCCCACTTATTGTATCTGTATTGGGCTTGGCCCATCTCTATGCCTTAACCTAACCTATATAAGTTGGCCTTCTTTGTCATTAACGTGTGTTTTGCCTTGTCTTGTGTTGAAGAGAGAAAAACGTCCCTGCCTCTTGCTTTGTGCTTCTCCTTGGCCGGCTTCCCTCTTATTCTTCTCTAGCCTTTGTGGCTGCAAACACCGTCCCTTTGTATCCTAAGTGGATACAAATCTTGAGCAACCGAAGTGTGGAAGAGGTTAACGTTTTTGGTCATGATTGCTTGGGTGTATTGATAAGGTTGAGATTGGTATACTAAGCCCGAAATTCCACCAATTGAAGGTCGATTATTCAACAATATATGTAGACTCCTCATAACTAATTGTAGCTTAATGGCTGCTAACCACCCACTTAGTGGCTATTGACCACTCACACACTTTTGGAGCATGTTCCCATGTTGACATGATGAGGTGTCTTTGCTGGTCATTACGTGTCTATCACACATTTACACAACAAAATATTTTGTTCGTAAATCCAAAATTTTTCTACTTTTTAATCACACATTCTATTAAAAATTACCATTCAAAACATTGTTTTTCACAAATAATGGTTGTCAAAAAAGGGCTAAATTGTGCTCGAGTGTTCAATCTTTTAATTACGCAATTAGCATATGTTATCATATTCGTGATCAGGTTGATACTGTGGCATATCATCTTTTGGTGTTAAAGAATTTGTTCCTTGGAGGCATCAATGTCTTATCACTTTTTACCGGGATTGGCGGGGCTGAAGTGGCACTACACCGCCTTGGGATTCCGTTGAAAAATGTTGTATCTGTTGAGATGTCAAAAACTTGTCGAATTGTTGTTCAGAGCTGGTGGGAGGAAACCAACCAAAAAGGCAAATTAATCCATGTTCCAGACGTGCGAGAGGTAACTGAACACATATTAAAGAAGTGGATTTCTGAGTTTGGTGGTTTTGATATTGTCATTGGAGGGAGTCCATGTAATAACCTCGCTGGCGGAAATCGTGTGAGCAGAGATGGGCTTGAAGGCCAGCATTCTTCACTTTTTTATGAGTACTACAGAATCCTTCAATCTGTCAGGCACCTCATGAGGGCTTCATAATGCTTTGTGTCAAAGTTTAATCATCACTGTTGGACCTTTAATTTCTCTACAAAGTACAATATCAGTTTATTTACATGTTAATTAGGTAAAATTGTAATTTGCAGAAACATAATACTCTGTTTATCATTTGGGGTGAATGATGGACCATTGATTTGTGATACTAATTTTCAGATATTTCTTGTTTTATAGCAGCGTGATGGTTTATTATATCTTACAAGAAATTCTTAATAATTTTTTGGATATTTATTTTTTTATTTAATTTTTTTTGTCAGGAAAAGAAATAGAATAAATATAGACGTGAAAATTTTAGACAAAATATTAAAGGATACCGCTATTTCCATCCACAATTTTTATAAGTACATCCCACTCTAAGTTCATTTCTAATTAAATTTTTAAATTTTAAACAAATATTATTTGCATTCACGTCATTTCCAATCTTGCCCCTATTAAATCCATTCATTTAGATACTATTTATTCACGTGAATTTTATATATTCATTCTACTTTAAATACATTTCTAACACTATAGATTCACACCATCCCTATCTGAAACATTGGTTTCATCATCGTACTCAGAAGATTTTTTACGTCCCCTCGCACTACCACCTCCACTTTCCCAATCATCAAGCTTTTCTACTTCACCAAAGGCGGTAGCTCCATTGCTTGCCGCTTTCATCATCCATCTTTGGTACCCGTCAACAGTTTACCTCCTATTTTTCATCTTCTCTTCCGCTTCCTCCAAAGTGAGTTGCTTATATTGTGCCACTTTGTTAAAATTGTACCAGGAACTAGCAGGAATGGCTACAAATTCCTTTCCCTGAAGCATTAGAAGGTGATATGTAGCTGATTGTGAACCCTCAAGCTGAGCATGGTATTGAGACTGGCCAGTTTCATCCTCCAGTAGCCAAAGTTTATTCTTGTACTTATCTCTCAAAGCATCAGTAATTATGCGACCTTGCAAGAAATAAAATTGTTTGCTCAAGTGATGAAACAATTAATTGTCAACCACATAATTTTCAGAGCATTTTAGACAAAGAAAGAGAAAACATAATGGAGATGACATCGTTCACTCCAATAAGATGAAAGCATTTGTACTCCAATTAATGAAGGAACACTCAACCAGAAAAAGAAATTGAGATCTCGTCGAGAAGACAAATTGGCACAACCAGTAGGCAATTATTACATTTTCTTCATTGCATCTCTTAGCTGTAAGAGAAACATGAAAATAGCAGAAGATATAAACATTTTTTAACCCTCCTATTCTCCTAATATAAGGCCAAAAGAATCACAAGTGAAGAGAAGACGACACGGAGAAGCCAGAATGAAACAATTTTATGTGGTTGCGTGTGTATGTATATGTTTTGGCTCCCCCTCCTTTCTGTGTTTGCAGCGGCCAATGTATATATATCTATTATGTCTATTTAAGTAAATTTATATAGGATTTAAAATATAATAAAATTTTATTTTTAAAAGTGGATGTAATTATAAAAAGCGTGGATGGAAATAGTGGTACCCATATTAAATGAGAGATTTTGTGACATTTTACGTATTTTAAAGGAGTGAAATACCAAAAAGATAATTTAAGAATATGGGTAGAGGAACTGCCAAAACCCTTAAAATAAGGCCAAATTCCTCAAAATAAGCCCACATCAAAGTGTTCTGATTTTGTTATACTTTGATTGTGATTCACCTTTGATTATGTCTTTTATGCGTCTGGTTATATAGGGATGGAAAGGAACTTCAAGAAAAGGTTGCAAAGAAAGTAGCACACGCTGAGGAGGTGCCGATGCTGGAGGTAAAAGCAACAAGAAATAGGATCATGTGTTTCACAATGTACTTTTCTTGCTTATTTTGAGCTCATTGACTTTTCCCCTTGATTTTATCTTTAACATCTGAAGGATCATCCTAATTACAATGTGAAGGTAAAATCGAGATGTTTGTCTGTTTTTCAATTTTAAACTATTCTGAGATTTTTGTTCGTTTTGTATCACATAATTTAGATTTGACTCTTTCACTCACCAACTCCTTGTGGATTTAATAATTCTTCAATATACTGAATTCAAAAGTCTTACCCGTGGCACAAGTGTTTAAACTTATACTTATTTCAATTCGATAAACCCAAACATAGTTATATGGGCGTCAGCTCTATTTATCTCGTTCTTTCATTTAGCTTTATTTAGGACCATTTCTGTGACGACTCGAAAGTTCAAGTGTCACTAAAATCGTATATTGAACATCATATTGCACTTTCAAAATATTGAAATTTATTTAAATAATATCATGAAATTGTAAGAGTGAATACATAAAAAATTTTGACAAAACATAAAAGAAAATACTAGAAATTTAGCAATCTTAATATCAGGTTAATAATTAAATAAATTCTTAAATAAATAAAAATAAGCTTGGCGGGTTTCTTTCACTTGCCAATTCCCCAACCCTCTCATACCTTAATTACCACGAACCATCCATTTTGGGATAAAGGGGGTGTGAGACAAAATATCAGTAAGCATATAAGTACATGGATTAATATTTTGTATAGAATTTAAGGAACTTCATACATACATACATATAGACATACATATACATACCTAGTGCGACATGAAAATCTATACATAACACAGGTGGTATGAAATTTTCATACGTAACGCTACTATAATCCTGTCCAAACTTAGAACATATATAAATGACCTTGTAATCAATGTTCCAAAAATCTAACATATGCATATAATCCCATAGAAAAAATATATATATACTTATCACATCTTGTGAAAATGATAAAAGAAATGCTAGAATATATTTGGGACTTCAATTTTTGACCCACACACTAAAGAATACTATATTTATATTTGTGTGTCTTTCACAGAAAAATGAATGTACTTGAAGATGGAACATATGATACCTATTTATAGGGGTCGCTGTGCTTTGAGAGTTCTAATTCAATTGAACTTTGAATATCAAATGTACTAAAATCTAATCACTATCTCAACCATATTTCAGCTAAGATGATAAGATAATGAATTTAAATTTAAAAAAAAAGATTATCTCCATAATTTCTAAAATTAAATAAAGTAGAGATTTTATCTTTATAATTTAATATTTCAATTTTAATTTAAAAGGGATAACATTATCTCGATTATCTTTTCACTTTAAATAGAATATAAATAAAATTAAAATATTATCTTAATAAGAATTTTATTTTATCTCAATAATTTAAAATTTCAATCTATCTAAAAGAGATAAAATTAAAACATTATCTCCATTATTTAATTAAAATTAAATAAAATTTTAACAACTTGGGTTTGAGCACAAAAAAAGAAAGAAAGAAAAATTAAAACAAAAAGGTGAGGACTATAATTTCACATAATGGACTCCCATGTGATTGAATGGGCTAAAATATTAATCGTGTCTTTTTAAAAAAAAAATAACGGACCAGACCTAAATTGATAAAATTAGGCCATAGGTAAAGGTAATACAGTAAGAAGACATTACACAAGTAAAATGGAAAGTATAGATGTCAATGGGTTCCAACGGTTCACACGATTTTTTTTTGATTCTCTGACATTTGGAATGACATGAACAGAAGTGGATACGCTTGTATCCACCAAGGGGAGGTTAAATAATGAGCCAAAATGTGATACAATGAGAGTTAATGGGGCCAAAGGGAGCTACATATAGGAGTGGGCGTGGGTTGGGTCGGGTCGGTTTTTATCTCAACCCAAAGCCAACCCAACGTGATCGGTTTTAGTAATGTTCAACCCAACCCAACCCATGTAAAGATTGAAACCCAACCCAACCCAATCCAACCAAATGTCGGTCAGGTTGGGTTGGGTTGGTCAGGTTGAGATAACCTATCAACAAATATTAAAGTCGCCAAAATACTAAACTTAAAACAACATTTATATAGTCTTCCAATATCAATAAACTTAAAACATATAATGGTATAATCCACCAAATACATATCAAATAACTATCCAATAACAATTACATATCTAATTACAAAGCTATAGTTCTGAGGCAAAAAACTATTGGCACAAACAAAAATTTGCTGGGAAAAAAACCAGCCACCAAAACAAAGTAATTCTTGTGCCACAAAACAAAAATTAGCCATCAAATAACCATTGACACTTGACACAAACAAAATAATTATCCAATAACTATTGGCACTTGGTACAAACAAAAACTAGACATGAAACAAATTAATTCTTGTGCCTTTGATCATCTTGATTCAATTTTGAATTCATTGATTCCAATTCTACAAAAAAAAAAAAAATTAAAATTTGATTCAGTTGACAACAAAATACATAGATATAAAGTCAAAATAACAAAATTTATGAAAAAAATACATATTACCTTCATCTAACTGATTGTAATGCTCAACATCTTCCATGTGGAAACCATCTAACGGTGGAGAAGCTTTCAACCAATTTTGTGTGCATATCAAGACTTCCACCATTTTAGGACTTAATGAATTACGAAAAGGATCAAGTATCCTTCCTGCGGTGCTAAAAGCACTTTCTAAAGCAACCGTTGAAACTTGAATTGCCAACACATCCTTAGTAAGATTAGACAAGACACCGTACTTACTTTTGTTAAACTTCCACCAATCGAGAACATCAAAGTCCTTGTTCTCTATGCTTTCACGAGCATCAAGTAAGTATCTTTCCACAACATTTTTTATTTCAGCATAATCTTTTACAACTTGTTTTTTCAAAAATCTAGAAAGACGAGCATCACTCATAGAAGAAGAACTATCTTTATTTGTACCGAAAGAACTCAAAGACTCGTCAGTTGATACTTGACTACTTCCATTAACACCTTCACATGCCACATACCACTCATAAATATCCATTAAATTTTCTTTCAAAGATTTCATCATGTTACTAACAACTCCCCCATCCATGTATAGATCACTAAAACAGTATTCAATATAATCCATTTTATATCTTGGATCAAGGATAGTAGCAATAAGCAACAACTGATTCACATTTTCCATTTTACTCC